ATGCTATGCCCACCAAAAGAGCATAAAACATAAGCATGACCCAATTCATCATTCAGTGATCTCTCATGGGACAAAGGCACTTTTGTTGTTTGATCTTGGAAATGTTGTAATTGTGATGACTTCAGTTTAGTCAACTCTGTCTGGGATATCATTGCTCTTCTGATGTAAGAAGATGTCTAAAGTTCACAGAGTGAATAGTATTTCTCTAGGAACAAGAACACTCTTCTACAGTTGAAGTATGAACTAAAGCTACAAAACTATGTTTGGCTGAAAGATGATGAAGGAAGTTTAAGGCAAGATATCTGAGAGTAGAGATTTAGTAGGGATTGGAAGATAATATATATGTGAAATTACATGACTGGTTAAAGCTTATATACTTTCCAGTTCATTACAAGATGGTTGCAAGACAATGATAGGATTTCTATTTCTGGGAACTTGCCATTAAAATCACTTTATCAAGTATGTCTTTCCCTAGAGGTTTTTGATGGTTATTTTTCCTTTAAAAAATAAAGAATACTCATTTCTATAAGCAAACCAATGTAGATAAAATCTTACCTATCAGATAAACAAAGTTTTATCCCTCAATAAATGGGGAAAAATAAGTTTAACATTTCTAGACCAATAATTTCTGTACAATACCAGCTCAACACTGTACAGTTGGGAGAGTTTTTCCCAAAAATTGTGTGTGTGTGTGTGTGTGTGTGTGTGTGTGTGTGTAAATCACAATGTGTTATAGAAACAACAGTGCTTGTACCCCTGGAGGTTCCTTGGTTTTATGTGCTTTTGGTTTGGGAGTTTGTTGTTTTTTTTAGGACTACAAACAATATTTCAACTCTTTATTATTGAAATTTTCAAATATAAAACAAAGAAGGGAAATGAACACATGTACTAGCTTTGGCAGCTAGTCATTCAAAGACTCCTTTGGGTTTTGCACCTCTTTTCCATCCCCTGGAGGTTCCTTGTAAGGTGGATTTTTCAATAATGATTTGTATCAATAATCTTTGGACATAGATTAAAAAGAAAAGCAAACAACTCCAAACCTCCCTGCAAACAGGCTAACCAACCACAAAGGTAATGTTTTCTTTGTGGTATTATGAATTCTAGAACCCCTCCATAGTGTTTCTGATGTCATATATCTTTATAAGACTTTCTATATTTTTCCCATGGAGCATTTTCAACCACCAACCTTACAATTCCCACCCTGATACTCTATGTTCTACAACACCAGAGTTCCTAAAAACAAAGCAAGCTTCTATTCGTAGAGTGAATACTAACTCATTACGGTGCCTTAAAAGTAGAATTGTGTTCCATAGGATTTTCAATGGCTAAGTTTTCAGAATGGCTTTGCTTTCATTCCCAAAAAAATGTGAACCAAAAGAATGTGAAAATTTTAAAAAAAATTAAGAAGGATGTGAAAATTATTCAATAATATCATTAATATCACATGCAAGTAATCTTGCTTAAGATTGTTCAAAAATGACTGAAGAAAGAAGATTCATTAACAACTTGCATTATGCAGATGGCATAACCTTACTTGCTCAGAGTGAAGAGCACTTCAAAACAACTATGAGATATCATCTCACCACAGTCAGAATTGCAAAATTTAACAGAACAGCAAACATCAAATGCTGGCAAGGTTGTGGAGAAACTGGAACCCTTATTCACTGTTGATGGGAGTGTAGAATGGTGCAGCCACTATGGAAGGCTGTATGGCACATTCTCAAAAAGTTGCAAATAGAAATACCATTTGACCCAGCAATTCCACTACTGCGAATTTATCCTAAAGAAACCATAACTGCCACCCAATCATATATATGCACATCAGTGTTTATTGAGGCTTGGTTTGCAATAGCAAAGAGCTGGAAGCAACCCAAGAGCCCATCAACAAATGAATGGATAGAAAATCTCTGGTATATTCACACAATGGAATACTATGCAGCATTGAAAAACAAGGAACTCATGAAATATTATACAAAATGAGTGACACTGGAGGACATTATGCTGAGTGAAATATCTCGGTCCCAAAAGGACAAATATTGCATAGGGCCACTTTTGTAAAATGGGACTGACACCAGGGTTGAGAGAAGGAATGATGTATATTGCATTGAAAGAGATGAGGGAGAGATCTGTTTAAAAGGGATATATGAATGGGTATTCTTGTCATTACAGAAGTCCAGAGTGAAGCCTTGATAGTAGAGTGAACTTGGGGGTGGTGGTGGTGGAATTGCATAACAATCAAAGAGTTTTTCTTTTTCTTTTCGAGGAGAAGAGTGATTTGGGGGGAGGGGAGAGGCAGGGAGAAAAGTGCCACAATGAATGACTGGAAACCCTAAAAAAAAAAAAAGAAAAGTGAAGAGCACTTGAGGTGTTGGCTGCAGAAGATCAAAGATTTCAGCCTTTGATATGTATTACATCTCAACATCAAGAAAACAAATATCCTCATCACTGGACCAATAAGCAACATCATGAGAGATGGAGAAAAGACAAAACTTGTAAATAATTTCATTTTATTTGGCTCCAGAAATAAAATCTTTTGTAGTAGCAGTCAAAAAATCAAAAGGAATGTAGCATGGGGGAAATCTGTCAAAGATCTCACCAAAGTTCTAAAAAACAAGGAGGCAGTCTAAAGATTAAAGTATAATTCAAGTAATGGTATTCTTTATTACTTCTTATGAATCTGTAAGATGGACAGTAAACTGTATCTCTTATTCTGAGCTGTTGTCATATAATTGGGGTGGGGTGGTGGTAATTGTGCCACAGTGAATGAATTTTTTTTTTTAAGTGAACTGTTGGGATGGGGAAGGAGGGATCAAACATGCAACAATGAATGAATGAAATTCTAACTTTTCTATCAACTTTGTTAGAATCATATTCAAATAAAAATTTCATTAAAAAAAAAGATGGACAGTGGATAAGGATGACAGAAGAAGAATATATGTCTCTGAACTGTGGTGCTAGAGAAGAGTATTGAATATCTCATGGGCTGCCAAAAGAACAAATAAATCTGTCTTGAAAGAAGTCCAATCAATGCGTTCCTTCGAGGCATAGATGGTGAAGGTTCTTATCATTTACCACTTTGGGGTCCATTTTCAGGCGGAACCAATCCTTGCAGAGCGACATCATGCTGGAAAGGTAAAAGATAAAGGAGGAGAGGAAGACCCTCAAGGAGATGGATTGACACAGTAACTATCACAACGGGCTTGAACAGGACAGAGATCATGAGGATGGTGAAGGACAGGGCGAAGTCCAGATCTGTTGTTTATAGGCTCATCATGAGTCGCAGTCAACTTGATGGTACTTCTTCAGATGTAGGTAGTCTCCTGGGGTTCCGTGAGGTAGAGTCTTCTACAATCTTTCCGTTAACAACTGAGCACATTAACTGTTTGGAACTACTCAGGAATAATGTCAGAAAGGGAATGACAAGGACTAGAAGCAAGGTCTAGATGTCCAGGGGCTTCAATATATGTCTCAGGGTGAAGTTATTTATCTTGAGTTGTCTTTTGTCTCCTATTTACACAGTTACATTGCTTATCACATAGACCAAAGGAGAAAGGGAACATGGGTTACCATCTAGGAATTTGGTCTTAAGAATATAAATTATTTTTACTTGGGGTCTAGACGCTTCAAAGCTCATATTTGTATTTTCCCCTTGGCGTGGAGTCAGAAGTGACTCAAGGCCAAACTTCAATTGAGTTTTAAAGGCTATAAATGTATAAATTGCTTCTCCTTCTCCCATGGAGACTGCTCGTCATTTTCCCATGGTGCCGCTAAGGAATTCAAACCATCAAAGAGACATGGCTTTTGGGTTAGCAGCACAACTCCTCACAAATTATGGCACCAGAGCTCCATAGACAACCTTAATTAAACAGTGAATCACAAAAGGACAAATACTGCATGGTGCCACTGTTGTAGAATGGCACTGACATCGGGGTTGGGGTGAGACTGAGAAAAATTGGATAAATGCATACTGCATTGAAACAGGTGAAGGAGAGAACAGTTTAAAAGCGATATATGATTGGGTATTATGGTTATGATAAGAGTCCAGAATGAAGGGTGCACAGTGGAGTGTACTTGGAGGGGTGGGGATTGTATACCAATGAAAGATTTTTTCTTTTATTTTTCAAAGAGAAGAGTAAACTGGCAGGGGGAGGGGTACACAGGGAGCAAACTGCAACAATGAATGAAAGGAAATCAAAAGTCTCTGTAAACGTTCATTAAAATTAATAAAATAAATTTTTTTTAAAAAGTGAATCACATCAAGAGGCCAAATTTCCTCGTTTCTAAAGTAGAAATAGTGGTTATTTAAGCCATATCTAATCCATGTGGTTGTTGTTGTTATGTGCCATCAAGTCACTTGTGACTCATAGCAACCCTATGTACAACAGCCCTAAACTCTGCTCTGTCCTGTGCCAATCGCACTGCCTCTGACACACCCATCCCGATTACCCTAGTCACTGAATCAATCCACCTCATAGAGGGTCTTCCCCTCCTACGCCGTCCCTCCACCCTCCCAAGCATGATGTCCTTCTCCAAGGACCTGTCCCTCCTTACAACATGTCCAAAGTATGTCAGATGAAGTCTCAGAATCCTTGCCTCCAAGGAGCCACCCGGTTTAACCCTTTCCAGGACGAATCTGTTTGTTTTCCTAGCAGTCCATGGGACATTCAATACTCCTCCCAGCACCACAGCTCAGGCATCAATTCTCCTTCTATCCTCCTTGGTCATTGTCCAACTCTCTGATGCATAACAAGTGATTGCAAAGACCATGGCCTGTATCAGATGCACTTTAGCCTCCAGAGAGACACCATTTTTAATAATTATATTATGCAATTCATATACAAAGACTTAGTAAGCTATATTTTACATGGAGCTAAAATAATGGATAAGATAGAAAAAGAGGAAAGACAATAACAATATGCAAGCCCTGATTTACCCCATTTAGAGAAATAAAGTCATTTTTATTTCCTCCTTTACCACTCATTAGTGTCTCCAATTTCACATTATATAAAGAGCTTTCTCATAGCAGATTTTACCTCTTCATTTCTTAGGGTATAAATGAGTGGATTCAACATAGGTGTCAGAATCCCATAAAACACTGCCATGTGTTTGTCTATAGATAGAGTAGAGGATGGGCGCATGTAAGTAAATACACAGGGCACAAAAAATAAGGCAACAACAGTGAAGTGGGCCCCACAGGTGGAGAGGGCTTTGCGCCTCCCCTCGGCACTGTGACATCGTAGGGAGCGCAGGATGACAATGTAGGAAGCAGCCAGCATCAGGAAGTTCAACAGGCAGATCACACCACTGTTGGCAACCACCAGCAGGCCGATGACATACGTGTTGGTGCAGGCAAGTTCTATCAAGGGGTATAAGTCACAGACAAAGTGATTGATCACATTGGACCCACAGAAAGGCAGCTGAAGGACAAGGAGGAGCTGAATCAATGAATGCAGAAAGCCCCCCAGCCAGGCTACCCCCACAAGCAAGGCACAGAGATGCTTGGTCATGGTGGTCAAGTAGTGCAGAGGCTTGCAGATGGCCACATAGCGGTCATAGGCCATCACTGTGAGCAGTATGATCTCAACACCTCCCAAGAAATGGGCTCCAAAGAGCTGAGTCATGCAGCCTTCGTAAGAGATGGCTCTTCCCTCATACAAGGAGTCTGTGATGAGTTTAGGGGTCATAGAAGAAGAGTAGCAAGTATCAATGAAAGACAGATTGGCCAGGAAGAAATACATGGGGGAGGTCAGGGTGGAACTAGAGGTGATGGTGACTACAATAAGAATGTTACCACAAATCGTTGCTACATAGATGGTCAAGAAAACGATAAACAGAAATCTCTGTATCGCTGGATTCTGTGAAAGGCCCAACATGATAAATTCTGTAATATTGTGTGGTATCTCCATGGATCCCAAGAACACTGAGAAAGTTGACACAGTTTTAGCTATAAATCCAAGAGAGAAACATAATTATTGTAACATCAGTTCAAGGGAGGGAGAGGGATGCATTGCTGCAATATCTCCTTACGCCACACTAATATCCTTTGCTAGGCTCTTCTTGGTCTGAATCTCGATCTGTTGCAAAATTATTATACAAATTTATTCTATAAATTGCAAAATATAACATATGTTTGCAGTTTATCTTTTGCACTTCTAATCACCAAAGATCTAGCTCCCTAAATGAAATAATCTAATACTACAAATCTGAATTTGTTTCGTTATACTGAGATAGAACGTTTCCTAATTCAAACTGAGTACAAATCTCGAAATTTGTAGCATGCCCCCTTGCATAGATGGTGGCACTTCAGAAAACTTTGAATTACTGTAAGACTTCACAAAACCTTAGCATGTACAATTCATACCCTTTGAATTAAATCTTTCTTCTTGGATTTTGCATGTACTGAGTTACAATTTCTATTTGTGTAACAAATGGTAACACAAATGAGTGGAAAAACAAACTGAAGCACCATTGAGAAAAATTACCTATAATCCAGATGGAACCTTGTCCAGCCTCATTTCAGTCTTTGGCATTTATTCTCATCAAGTGCTCACGTTGTGCAGCATCATGTCTCATAATTTGCTTCAACAGTTTGGCATTTCCTCAAAACAAAACACAGAAATTCCATATGATGCAACTATTCCACTGCTTTGGAAAATACCCCAAGAAAATGAGAACTGAGGCACAGATGGAGACTTGTAACACCAATGTTCATAGCAGCATTGTTCACCATCGCAAGAGCATGGAAATAGTACAAATGTCCAACTACAATCGAATGGATTGAAATTATGGAACATCCACACAATAGAATACTATGCCACATGCAAGATCAATGATTTTTAAAATTACCACCCAACTTGGGAGGGACTGGCGAGCATTATGCTAAGTGAACTAACTAAGTCCCATAAGAACAAAGACTGTATAAGACCATTATTGTAGAAATATGAAGATAACTGGACAAATGTGTACAGGGATCCAATGTGGGGAGGGTAGGAAGAGATGGGGGTTAATCATAAGGTCGCACAATCTGATGGGTAGAGAGAGGGGTTGGCAAAGGAAATGATGAGAAACATCCACTGTGAAAAACAGAGAAACAATGTATACGTACTTTGTAAGTAAACCAGTATAAAATGAAAATTTATTTTTAAAAAATACATATATACATACATATCTGTATATATATATATGTGTGTGTGTGTGTGTGTATATATATATAGTGCTGAGCTCTGGTGGCCTATTGGCAAGAAGGTGACTGCAATCCCAGAGGTGCACGGTTCAAATCCACCAGATCCTCTGCTGGAGAAGGAGGAACAATCTCCTCCTGTATCTGTCAGATCTGATTTGATGGTACACACACACACAAAAAAAAAGAATAAAATTTTGAAAAAAAACCAAACATATATATATAAGTATATAAAACTGGCTTCAATTACATTGTCCTTTGCTTTAGACATTTTGTATGTTTGTGTATCTTGCATTCATTCCCTGAACATGGTCAAATCCATTTGGTTAAAGGCTACTAAAACCTCTGCAGTCTAGAAAGGACTTAGCATAAGAAAGCTTGGTGAAGTTTAGTGAAAGATTTTATAAAGGAGTATTTGCTGGTGCTATATATAAGGGAAAGTAGCAGGGCAAGGAGCACTGTCTCAACTAGCTAGCCATCATAGTTTAGGGGATGGAATATTCCCAACAAAAGGTAAACAAACCCAATGTTATTGAATCAATTCTAACAGCAGTTAAGAACTGTCACAAAGGTTTTTTGTTTGTTTGTTTGTTTGTGGTTTTTTTCTCTTTTTAAATTTTTTTATTTTAATAATTTTAATGAACATTTACAGAGATTTTGGATTTCCATTCATTCACAGCTGCACTTTTCTCCCTGCCCAGCCTTCCCACCCGCCCCCTCCCTCCCAGTTTGCTCCTCTCTTTGAAAAGTGAAAGAAAAATCCTTTCTTTGGGATTTTAAGCTCTATGGAAGCAGACTATCACATTTTTCTCCCATGGAATCAATGAAGAGTTAAAACCATTCACTTTGCAATTAGCTAGCTATATTCAGGATTTAACCATGGAACCAATAGGGATCCCAGAATTTTCCTATAACCTACCATACATTGTCCTGGTTATATTACAGAAATTCCTGACCATATCTAGGTTTTGGTTAAATTAAAACTGTCATAAGATCTCCCCAAAAAGCCATTCTTTTTTCTAGAAATACTGTTGTTACCTGCTGTCAAGTTATTAGCTGCAACTCATGATGAGCCCATGTACAGTGGCCCAAAATGCTATCAGGTCCCATGTCATCTCCATGAAAATTTGTGAATCAAACTGCCGTGACCCACTGAATTTTCACTGGTGAGTCTTTAGTAATAGATCTCAAGCCTGTCTTCCTGGTTTATTTGTGTCTGAAAGTTTTGCATAAACCAGCATCATAGCAACACCCAAGCTTCCACTGACAAATAGGTGCTAATTATGCATGAGATGCAACTTCTAGGAATTGAACAATTGGGGGGGAGGGTCCCAAACAGAAGGTGAGAATTTTACCACTGTGTCATCACTATGAAAACATAGGCCCACTATAGTAGTTAAATCTTCTAAGTTGCTGAAGAAATAATACTGCAAATAATTAGAGAATTGAAAGAAACCATTAAACATCAGAAGATGGAAGAGGAATACAGATGTCAGAAATGCTAGAGAGAAGTTCCCTGTGCTAATTAAGAAGCCGCTTTCTTTTCTTCTCCATTTCCAAAAAAGAAAATAGAGCTTTTGCAAGTGATAAGGATAGTTTATACCACCACTATGCCAAAGAGCACCGATTGTGGTAATAACAATAAACTCCTATGCTGCACTTACTCTTTGCCAAGCTCTCCTTAACTACATATATACATATACTTAATCATTGCATCATCTCTAGGAGTTATAGTACAGGATTTTATCCTCATTTTGCAGAAGAGGAAACTACAACACACATTTAATAAATTAGGAATGCATATCCAATTAATAATCAGCTTATAGGAAGCTTTAACGGTCAGAAGTCTGACTCCAAAGTATACGTGCTTCATATATTACTCCACTACTTTGAACCTAATGTTCATCTGGGTTTGGATGATTCCTTTGGTATTTACTGGCCATCAAGAAGGGCAGTCTCTCAAAGCCTCAATTTCCTCATCTACGAAATAAGATAAATCTATTAAAAAACAATACTTTCTCCTTAGAAGTTTTGAAGTGTTACAAACTTAAATGCTTAGCTACTAAGTTAAACTTTGGGAGTACATCCATGCAGAAGGGTGTTAGGGGAAAAAGCCTAGTAATCTACATCCACAAAAGCCATCACTGAAATCCTTCTGTGGTATGATCCTATTCCAATATGCACAGAGTCATCACGTGTTGAAATTGACTCAATGGCAGCTGGGCTACTTTGGGCTACAAAAAGGAGTAAGTTAAATAATAAATGGAATTCATCAATAAAATGCACCTTAGATTATCACCATCATCACCACCATGGGCAACAAATTCTTCACGTGGGCCAAGGAACAAAAGATCTAAGTTCACTTGGTGAAGACTATGTAAATGTAATTTATAGGTATGGTGTTATTGTCAATTTATCCTGATATTCCCATTCACCCAGAAATATGATCTATATTGGATGATACATTTTGTAGCCAAAAAAATGAGTTTGTAAACTTAATTTTTTAAAAGCTTTCTAAGTTGATTCATCTTTGCTGAGTAAAGAAAAAAAATACATCCTTTCTTTTTTAAATTTATATACTATTTATTTAAAAAATGGCAGAGAAAGGAAAATCCTGTTACCTTGAGAAACCAAATCGGTTCATAGAAACTAGTGAGAATTTCACTCAAATTCTACCACTCCCTTTTTATTTGAGTTTCCTTTTTCTTTTAGATAAATCATTAAAAATAGACCATAGACAACTTACATTAACTGGAAATGAAGACAAAGATAGGTAATTAGTGGATCCCCCCCACCCCATCCTTGAATCTTGAAGTCGTAGACCTGGAAGAATTCTTAAAGGATTATCCAAGCCAGTTTCAAGTGTATCATCCCAGAATGGACTGTTTTGAATGATTAAACTCATGGAAGAAGTTAGCCTTGTTTTTTTAATTGTAATAAAAAGCAAAGACTGAACATTTGCTACTGAAGACAGAATTTCATCATAGTGACATTTCTCAGAGTGCTGCTAGATGGGAACTCAAGAGGGGATCAGGCATTAGCAGCTGGAAATTCACTTATCATCCATTTATCTTTTCTTTGCTGAAGAATTCATGACATTTACATTTGTTGTTTTGAATCCGTTCCATTTAACAGATGGTGAACGTTATACCTGAAAACAGTAGATGAAGCTAGTCCAAAGTTGCATGATTGATTTATGAAAGAGGTGCTGCTAGAATCCTGGTTTATTTTCACTTCATCCTGGGTCCTTTCTAATATAACCACCACCTTCAACAGTCTACTTTGGGACAAAGCAAAGCACTGCTCTTCTCCTTGGGTGGAAAAGTCTCACAAAAAGGCACAGGGAGATTGGCTGGCTTGTAGGCTCTACTTTCTGCTGAAAATACTCATCAGCATGGTCTCAGGGAAAAAAATATCTTATTCTTGCCATTGAAGAAGGTCATTTATAAGGTAGAAATGATAACATAGAGATTATCAATGGTAGTTTTTCTGCCTCTCTGAGGAAAACAAGCTCTCTCCTCATAGGACCAGTTTCTGAAACATGTTGGAAACAGCTTCTGCTTCATTCACAGGTGAGAGAGAGAACATCACTGCTGGCATCTTCTAATTGGGCTCTTTGAACACAGTCTTGAGTTCACAAGGGAACAACTCCTATTCTGCCTTGTGCCAGTGCCCATCTAGTGTCTAGAAAGAGAATATACAAATTTATTAAGTGTAAAAAGCAACAAGAATTTTTCAAAA